CGTTGGAGGCTGCCTCATTGGAAGCTGGCTCGTTGGATGCTGTTTCGCTGGGTGCTGTTTCGTTGGAAGATGGTTCCTCATCACCCAGTTTCAACTGTTGGATGAAGTTCCAGAACATTTGCATTCGTCTGTTCTGGAGCTCTTGCGCATATTCATGGACGAGCTTGACAGCTGCCGGGTCTACATTGGTGATCTGGATGACTTGCTGGCTGGTAGCCGCTTCCTGGTCTGGAGTTATCTCACCATCGTCATTTGGCTCACCATCGTGAGTTGGCTCATGGTCAGTTTTTGTTTGCTGGGCTGTCTTTGCTTGTTGAGCCAGGACCGTATAGGCTTCGCTGAAGGCCTGTGCACTATCGTCCATTTTACGAGTCATGTCGGCTACGGCGTTTTGTGCTACAACCGAATTAAGTGTGGTCAGGAGTTGTTCGTCCGAGCAGTCTGGTTGGAGTCTGGCGTTTCTGATATTCTCTACCGCATTGTTAGCGGCAGCATTAAGAGCAGCGGCCGCTGCCTCCATCTCACCATCCGCGATGACAGATGTTGCGAATTTATTGATGGCTTCGCTCACTTCCGGATACAGAGCTAAGTCATGCTGCGCTCTAGTCGCAGATACCACTCCCTCCCATTGCGAACGGCCAGCCTCATGCGTCTGGAACTGCGTCACAGCAGCCGCAACCTTCTCCTCCAATTCCGCGCGATCGCACTCCGTCGGGACCGAGATCGGCTCAGCCGACGTCTCTATGCCAGCCTCCACCGAGTCAGTGGCCAGACTGAGTGCAGCCAGCACTATCATCGGAGGCTGGCGAGCACGCGAAGAAGCAGCACAATTACGCATTCTATATATCCAGTCTTAAAAGAAAATTTACGAAATAAATTCCGCAAAAATCGGGCACCGACCAACCAGGAAAATTGGCACCGACCAATGACAGGCAAGTCGACAAATGACAGGCAAGCACCTATCTCAATCAGAATGCACCTCCTGCGCAGCCAGCCCCCACGCGATCAGCCTGCGCGGTCAGTCCGGGTGGCGAGAGTGAATGGTTGGCGGTGGCTTTTTTTTGCCGCTATAATTGCCGTGTGTGCATGTTGTTCGGAAGGTGACAACCTTAACGGCCTCGTGATTCATACAACGGATTGGGTGCCAAAGCAGCAAAGCAGGCGCATGTCGGACTGCTGTCGTGATAATATAGATAACTAAAAATAGTGGTGAGCTGCCGCGTAATAACAAAGGCGTTATCAAATATTTTGATTGGGTAAAGCCGACCCGACCCGACCTGACTGGCGACGGGCTTGCGGACCGAGCTCAGGGCGGAGAAAACTTTCCAGGAAACGGCCTTGGGTCGCAGTGTGAATCCCCGGAATCAATGGGCTCTAAGTGCGGTGGACGGAGTGAACACCCTCTTTGAATATTGGACATAAAAAAGCTAGCTAGGTATCTAGGTGAGTCTAGGCTTCCTCCTCCTCCTTGGGTTGCTCGGCGGCAGCGGCGGCTTGCTGGGCGGCCATGAAGCGTTCGTAAGCGGCGCGTTGAGCTTCCTCGGCGGCGAGAGCTTCTTTGCTCTTGGTGAGCAACTCGTCGAAGTAGAGCTGGCCCTCGGGGTTCTTTTCTGGGAAGGTTTGCTTGAGCTTGTCTTTGGTCTCGTCGTCGGCCATCTCGTAGGCGCCAGCGAAGGATCGAACGATCCAGTTGACGGAACTATCAATGCGTTCGTTGGCACCGTCGCTGCGGACAACGTTGAGCGCGCTGACAATTTGGTCGTCCGTGGCGTCGGCAGGTAGCTGGGAGTTCTTCATGCTTTCCAAGGCAGCGTCGACGACAGCATCAGCCTTGACGCGGGCGGTCTTCACCGCTTCCAAGTCCTTGGCTTCCAGGGCATCGACGACGGCTTTGCAGGCTTCGGGCACCGCCTTCTCATCAGCCGGCTTCGGATGCGTCTTCGCGTACTGCTCCCACTCGACCCTCTGCTCCTGCAACTGGATATATCGGCATACCATCATTAGCAACTGTCCCGCCTCCTCATTCTTCTGCTTCAACGCAACCTCCGGGTCGACGACCGGCCCGTCAGTCCCTTGGACAGCGGCCTCTACTGACGGGGAGCTACCCGCACCCACGTCCAACACGGACAGCAGGGCAACAGGCACACCTTCCGAATGACTCTTGGCGACGCACAAATGCATTGTTATTTTTTTTTAAAATTTGCAACCCGAAAATTAAACTCCGTCACTACCGATCGCCGCAAATGGGCCTTTGAAATTATTGTTCCGCCCTGCAGTTTATTATCGGATGTCACAATTAGGGGATGCAGGGGACGCGGTCTCCCCCCCCTTGTTCTGTCGCGTCTCGGCCTCATTTCCCGGGCAGGAGCGGACAACCCAGGAAAATGAGGCAAATACAGTAATGAAAAGGCACGTGGGCGCAAACGTCGTACCATTTTCGAACCGACGAGCGCGCGCGCGCACACGCGTGTGCAACGACCAAAAAAAGCTACTTCTGCTGGAACTGCACAAATGGCGTTAAAGACAGCTGTATGTACGGATATAGGGTTTCGTCATCAGTCTGCTTGTCGTTTATGAAGTAGTCCTTGCCCATGATATTTTTAGTGCCCATTATCTCGAGGATGATGTCACGCAACTTTTGTTCTTTAACTTTGGCGGGAAGCTGTAAGACGTAGGAGTTCACTTTGGTATCCGTTCCGTACCGAAGCAGTCCTTCGATATAAACATTTGCAGCTTTCATGTGAACGAGGGATACGAAACATTCCGAGAATGCGGCGACGCAGATTCGGGATAAGGTAGCTTCTTGCTGCATTTTTTCCGCTTCGAGTTTAGCTTTACGGCCCGCCTTTTCGGTGAAGGCATTAGGGTCGAATGTAAAGTTGTCTCGGACGACGATTTTTTGCTGCCTGCATGCGTCCTTAAACTGGTTCACATTCTTGCGGAACAAGGTAACACTGTATACAGCCACATCTTCAGTGCGATTCGACGTGGTGTCCTTGGGTATCTCGTACTTCACCAAGCTTGTCGGAACCACGAACTCGTTGAGGCGCCAGTAATCGCGTTCGAAATTTGGGGAATCCGAGCGTGGGACAATGCATATTACGGTGTTGAGCTTCTCGGAGTATACAAACCCGTTACCGTTCCCGACAACGTCGGGAGTCAAGACATCGACAAGGTCGCGGTTCGCCATGCCCAAGTTAGCGCCTTTGCTCAAGGCCGCAAGCTGGTTTTTCAGTTCCTGGAACTGACTCGCTTTCACCCTAATTTCATCATCCAACTTGACGACCGACTACAGGATAATGGGATGACGTTATTGAGGGTTAGCATGTGCACACGCGTGTGCGGCCCCGGTGAGTACGGCCAGTGCGAAACCCTCGTGATTGGCTTTACATTTACTATCAACTCAACGTTTTGTCTTAAGAGCCTCGTAGCGGCATACTTGGCCTCGTCCCACACGAACTTTTTCAAATACTCATCAGCCGACACTGAATAACGACGTTGTGCGACCCAAGACGTTGTGCGACCCAAGTGCGTCGTGTGTGTGTTACGAGTATTTCTTTGCCATATGATTTTGAACTCGGCGCTGGGATCTACCTCCAGTCCCATCTTTTCAAGACGATGGCACGTCTGTTCAATGAGGTTTTCGTACTTCTGGACGTCATCGAGCAGCGCGACCAGATCATCAAGCCGACCAAATTTTAGCTTACTCGGCACATCAAAAACCTGCAATAGACATTTATCGCTTAAAGATACTGGAGTGTGTATGGCCTGAAAATAGATCGAAAATGTGTTCAAATTACTAACAGCAATATCGTCGATTATCTTGGCTTGCTGGAGCTTAGACTTCATGAGTGAGTAGGTACCATCCCGGCTGCCGGAGGCCTTCTCGGATGTGGCAACTATCCAATACTCAGTGTTCGCGGACGCCATAACTTTTTTCTAAAAGAGCCGCGCTTCGTACACACCCGTCCTCACCCCCGTCCGCCACATCCTTCTGGCCGTGTCTCGGTGGCCCGCGATGTTCTATTGCTAGTCCGTAACTAAACCCAGTGAGGCACAGGTGGAATAGTCAGACCCAGGTGGAATAGTCAGACCCAGGTGGAATAGTCAGACCCAGGTGGAATAGTCAGGCCAATCTGACTAAAAGTATGATTGCACGCACCATGACTGAACATTCTCTCATGGTGCACCCGCCGGATGGAGGAGACTACGTCTGAGCAGCAGGTGCCGTCGGAGATTTCATTCGTGCAAAGTCTGGAATTTAACGACCGGTGCTTGTCGGATTGGCAGATCCACGCCTTGCTAGAGCATGGAGCCATCCCTGCCGAACTTGATGTCCACAAAACAGCCGTTGGACGCCTCGAGGGTGTCGGCCGGGATCCTAAGCAGCCTGACAATAAGGACTTGGACCTCGATAATAAGGACCTGGAGGATAAGGGCCTGGACCTCGCGTGTAGGACCATCAATAGAGGCAGTCGCGGGATAGGACTGAGGAAAAAAAGTCCTGGCGCGACCCGTCGCCAAGAGACAAGCCAACCCGCACCCGGCCACTGTAAAGGCGATTCCAGAGAAACGGCCATCAAAGAGGGGGCGGAAGATATAGTCGCAGCCGGCCGGGGTTGGGGATGCCATACGTGGGATCGGTTGTTGCGGCAGCTGGAGTCTGAAGGCCGACTGCCATTCCGAGTGGATGTCGAAGGCTTAGGCCCCAAGACTGTGGACCGGCAAAGTTGCCTGGCCGCACTGGATTTTCGGGGAGATGGTCTTCCGTATCCGCCCTACGAGATTCAGGTGTTGTGGGAAGAGATGGGCGCTGGATACCCTTCGGCAGCGTCTTTCCTCTACACAGTGCCTTACAAGTTTAATCGGTACATCGACCTGTACTTTTATTGGCACTACCTGTACGATGCAGGCATGCCTTGCTCCTTCTACACCTGGTTGAGATTGGAGGACGCTGAACCCCAGACACCCGTGAAACGTACCAGTATCGTGAGCCCTTCTTTACTGAGCAAGGAACAACTGTCCACGGCTCGAGCAATCTACCGAAAGACCTACGGACAGATCAAACCTTTATTCGCTATCCACGTCTGGGAGGCGTTCAATCTCCTGGGAGAGTCGGCGGAGGAAGCCGTGGGTAAACGGCCGGGAAAACAGCCGGGGGTGGTCAGGGAGATCTGTCCCACATTCGAAATGGATCGAAGGATTCGGAGACTGACCATGTCGTTCTGCGCGACTGCCCAGTTCATTGACCAACGGCGAGCCAGCAGTGGCGACAGTCGCCGAGGTGTTGGGAGAGGAAAGGGAGAGGGTCTGGGGGAGGCACTCAACCATGCTTTACTTTCGTGCAATGTCATCTTCCGGTTGTGGGAACTTGTTTGGAATTCATGGGATGTCGTGCACCGCTTTCAGCCCGACGAGATCCGGGCCGCCGCCGCACGGCTTGTGCCGGCTGACATGGACCGGAACGAGTGGGCTGGGGAACTCGGGCAGAGAAAATTATCGCAGCTTTTTTCATAAAGTATATAATGAGTAACCTCTCAGGTGTCATCTCCGTGGAGATCAAAAGGGTCGTGGGCATCCCTGAGGCCTACAAAGACCAGGTAAGGTTTCCGGGCAGAACCATGATTGTCTCTGCTGCAGGGCTTGATGATCAAGGCCGAGTATGGCGACTTCCTAGGCTCCACACATGCGGCGACTCCTGACTACGAAGACGGCAGACTAGCCGTCACATGGTCGATTGCGTTCGATTTCCCCTACAAGAAGCTTGCGGACGCAGAAGATCAAGACGTTAGGTAAGACGCGCCCTTTGGAGGCTCCCCGGGAATAATTTTCATACGAGGACACGCGTGTGCACACACGTGCGCGCTCAATTGATACCCTGATTTACCTCTAGGTTTGAGCTGTTGGCTCTCGAGGAAGAGTACCTGGCGTCGGCAGGTCTGGAAATAGAACATGCTATACAGCTAGGTCAGTACGAGTCCGTTCAGCGTTTGCCGTTGACAGCGCGGGGAACAAGGTTTCGAGGCTCGTTTTTGGAAATAGCGATGAAATTCGTGGAGGCGCCTTGCCATGCGCCGAAGCATATGGACATGCGCGTCGAGAAGGCGCAAAAGCTACTAATCGATGGAGAGGAGGCCGATCCGTCTGACGAGTTTTATGTGACCCTTCATAAAGGCGAGGGCGAGACGCGTTTGGGGATGACTCCGCCGGCAAGCGGCGTCGAACCTGAGTGGCACCATCACATTAAGGCTCCGTATGAAGGCGAGCGCATGTTGGTACTTCATTGTTTCCGAAAGTCAAAGGTTGAAGGAGTGCCCGACCTGCATATAGGCGAAGCCGCACTGGACGTTTGGGGGATTTTGCGGGAGCCGTCTGTGGACGGCGAGTGGATGAAGCCCGGCGGTCTAATTATAAGCAGTGGAGGATCTCATACTGAGAGTCCCCGAGGTAAGATATCTCTAACTATTCGCCTCTGGGACGACCAGCCGGGTACAATGAAGATGTTGAAAACCGGCACCAATCTGGGGGCGATGCAGAACGATGGAGACCGGGACGGCGCGGGCCACGGAGACCAGCACGGCGCGAACAACGATGTATTAGACCCCAGCAAGGCACGTTCACTAGCTAACGATGCGAAGAAGCTTGCTGACCAGGCGGCGAGTGACGCGCAGCGGGCGAACAACGCGGCCTCGGACGCAGACTTGGCTGCGCGCATGCACCCGAGTAACCGCGAACTGGACGACTTGGCGAACGAGGCGGATGAGGCGGCGAAGGACGCGGAGAAAGCTGCAAAACTGGCCGAGCGCCTGGCGGACGAGGCGGACGAGTTGGCGCACAGCCACCGGCCGCCGAAAGCCGCGATGCAGGACGTGCTAGACAGCCTGAAGAAGAAGGCCGATGATGCGCGCCGGAGCCGGGAGAAGGCGGAGGAGGCGGCGAAGCAGGGGTTGCAGCTGAGTGCCGACGAGTTGGCCAATCAGGCCCGGGCGCACGCGCAGAAGGCCGGCGACTATGCCACGCAGACCGGCCGCATCGCGGACAGTCACAAGGACGTCGCCAAGTTGGCCCAGCTGGCCAGCGGCGCGCGCGGCGACCATGCGACGGGGCTCCAGGCTGCGCGGGACGCTCGCAAAGAGGCTAAGAATTGTGCAGAGGCTTGCGCAAACGCCGACAAGAAGGGTCGCAGGCGCGACGACCCGCTGACTGAAGCGTATAACGCGATGAAGGCGGCTGAACAGGCCAACAAGGACGCGGCTGAGATGGAGGAGGAGGCGCACCTCAAGTGGAAAAAGGCGAAGAAACTTGCTCAGAAGCGCTTGGTGGAAATGGAGCGCGAACAGGAGGACGAACTGAAACGGAAGCAGAAACAGATCGAGGTCGAGGCCGAGGCAAAGGCACGGCTCCGCGAAGAGAAGGCGGAACAGGACCGGTTGAACCGGCAGAGGTCTTCCCTCGTGCCGGGTGAGAGCGACGCCTACAATTTGGCGCAGGGCAGCCGCCTCTATAAACCGCCCCAGAGCCCCGAGGCCGTGAAGTTCAACCAGGGCGGCGTCTTCAGAAACTGCTGCAACTGGGGCAACCCGCGAACCAACCCCGAATACCCCTCCAGCGACGTCTCCAAGGAATACGTCGTCGGGGCCACGGGCACGAGTGCTGCCGTCGTTCTCGACGCCGAAAAGTACGGACTGCCCGAGACTACTGGCTACACTGTTGAAGGCCCGCTGCTGTACAGCGGCAGAAAGACTCCCTGGTGCTGGTGCTTCGGCTGCCAATGCTGCCAATGCTGCGGCGAATGCTAGCTCTCACGCTGTCCAGGCAGGCGAATGCGCCAGCCACGTGTCCCATTGATCTCGCGTTGAATTCCATATGAGTTATATGCGTGGGCGGCTGTTATTTAATTTGCCTTTGCCGTACGATTTTTTCTAACACGGATGAGGCTTGAGGTAGCAGATCTAACATGCTGGAGGGGGGGATTTGTGTTTTTAGGCCGAGTGCCGGTTTCGTTTGTGCGTCAGGTGGGCTTACGACACAGTTCGGTACCAACGGAGACATAGTTCCGAGCGAGATGATGGCTGTCTACGAAAAAGTGCTCTATGATATGTGCATCAAGGGTAGAACCAAATTTCTATGACATTGCAGCTACCTAGACGACAAGCCATTCAACACCTTATAGCATGTTGGCCCTATCAATGTTGACTATCGGACGTTGATCTACCGGATGATGATAAGCACCGCACTGTCCATGCCGCAGAGCAGGCTGAGCCCGTTAATAACGGCTGGGTTGAATATATCACTGACGGTGTGTTTCGGATGAAGCAAGTTACCGACCTGTTTCGCCTTCTTGGAGACACTAAGTGTATTTGGCTATGAGATCTCTATCACTGCTTCTGTACT